GATTCTTCTCCTCTATTCAGCACTAGTGAGGCCACATCTGGAGTACTGTGCCCTGTTTTGGGCCCCACACTACAGAAAGGATGTGGACAAATTGGAGGGAGTCCAGCAGAGGGCAACAAAAATGGTACTTATAAGGAAAACTTATAAAGAAAAACTGAGGAAACTGGGCTTATTTAGTCTACAGAAGAGGAAACAGAAGGGATTTAATAGCAGCCTTCAACTACCTGAAGCGGGGTTTGAAAGAGGACGGAGCTAGACTGTTCTCAGTGGTGGCAGATGATAGAACAAAAAGAAATGGTCTCAAGTTGCAGCAAGGGAAGTTTAGGTTTGATTCACAGATGTAGGGTCAGAAGGGACCTTGTAGATCTTCTAGTCCAACCCTCTGCCTTGGGCAGGAGAGAAAACTGTAATCAAATGACCCCAGCTAGGTAAACATCAAGCCTCCTCTTAAAGACCCCCAAGGTAGGAACCAGCATCACTTCCCTTGGAACTTGGTTCCAGATCCTAGCCACCCTGACTAGTGAGAAAATGTTTCCTAATATCTAATTTATTCAGTTCCCTTCTTCCTGAAGAATGAACTAATTTGATCCTGACAGTTTCTCCAGGATCTCCAATGTAAAGAGATTCATCCACTTACCCTCAATGGGTTTCAGGTTGTCTACTCGAGTTCTATTTAGAAAGCTGCTGTAGGTGGAAATTTTTATTACCTAAAATATCCTGGGCACCTTTTTAGAGACAGAGGAAAAGTGCTTCTCATCTGAAAAATGTACCTTCATGATGATCCCTTTAGTAGTTGGGGAAAAGCCAGTAATAACATGGTTCATGTCCAAGAAGGATGTGACTCAGAACAACTATGAGACTACATAAAGGAATAAATACTGTTTTTATAACCAACATTTAACATTAATTTCTATTTTTTTAAAAACTGTTCACTTGCAAGAACATCCTCTGATTCCTACTGCTTTGTACAAACTAGAGACGATGTTCTGCAATGTGTTCACAATTTCTCCACACTGCAGGGTCTCATCTGCTGTGAGGAGACTTGAACCAAGGTTCTCTACCCTTATACAATGCTCTACTTGCTTTAAATGTCTAAGGAGGTTCAGATTCCTGGAGAGAAATCTAAGTACCATTTTTACAAGCAAAGCAATGAAGATATAACCTAGAGCTAAAAGCTATTGTACCAACATTTCTCACCTAACAAGGGATGAACACAAATTTAAGTAAGGATGGTAACTTAATGGTATTTTCTGAATTTCGTGGTCAAATCTGACATGTAAGTGTATGTACAAAAAAAAAAAAAATATCACAGAAAGGGCTGGAAGAGGGTTTAGGAGGTCATTTTGTCCCAATCCCGTCTCAAGGCAAAATCTTTCTCGTCTAAATCATCCCAGCAAGCTGTTTGTCTAACCTTCTCTTAAAGACTTCCAATGGTGGAAGCTCCACAATGTAACAGCCAGAACAAATGAACCAATGCTGAAAATTCAGTTATAGCGCATCACAGGATACACAAGACAAAACTAGATAAAGCATTTCTGTTCAGCCCAACTGCCTTAAAAACTTCTCATCCAGGTAAGGATGTGATAGAACATTACGGGGCAGCTTCCCCACCCTCCCCACCAAGAAAGCTTAGCACATAGGAGTAAGGGCCAAGGGTTTGCTACTTGGCATCACTTTACAACTGAAATCAAAATGAACCACCCAACTTGAGCAAAGCTGGACTCATCAGTACATATTATTGCTTGCACATGCTCAACAGCACTTTCAGAAAATATTAAAATTTTGCTACAACTCATACCTTCTGATTCAACACCAACCAGGTACTGGAAGCAAATGAAGTACAAGACAATTAGGTTTAAGACTGTTAATACCATATTATGATTTCTTTGTTTTGTTTTGTTTTTAAATTGGGTGATCTACTTAAGTCACCACCTTGGCCTGTTTTAGAACCAAGCTTCACCTTCCTCTGAAGACCTTCCAAATTGGCTTCTCATAAGTAACTAAATTAGCTGCAATCATCTCTGAAAATGCAGCAGTTGCTCAATGCTAACATACTTTTGCTTTTAAGTCCGTATGCAAGAGTGCCCTTTTCACAAATTAGAATAGCGTTATTAGGCTGAGAAAAAACCAAAATGTAAATGACCATAAGTCATGGTACGCTTTCACAACAATATGGGAGGAGCATTAAGCATTATTCCTGTGTGGGAAAGATACAGCAGTTAAAAATGTCAAAAGCAGCAGAACTCTGACCCTTCTGATTTCTCATCCTTTGCTTTGACCATGCCACCCATATGAACAGTAAGATGCATGTCCACTGTGGCAAGCAAGGAGTTGCAAAATAACGACAATTATAAAACCGCTTCTATTTTTTTGTTACATCTTTGACTTGACTGCTCCTGTTCAAACAATGCAGAATAAACACAATTCATTAAGTTTAACAAGATAAACTTTTGGTTAGTACTGTATAAAATAAGTTTTTTTTTATATGTACATAAAAGACATACACAAAGCTCAAGTCTTTACCTTGCTCTTTAAGCATTCTTTAGAACAAACTACCACCAATCTTTGGAAAATAGTCTATTTAAAAACATCTGTTATTTTGGATGAGATCGCATGTGAACATTTGTCTCAAAGTAGCTCAGGCAGAGATAGACATCAGGAGCGCCTTCATACATGCCCTGGGGTGTCGGTGCTTTAGAGTGGCTCCAAGAGCTGCTCTAATTAAAAACACCCACAGCGTCACAGGTATTCAACGTCCCATGCCTCATAATGGCAGTGGGGGCACTTTCAAGCTAATTAAACAAGCTTTAGTAAAAGTGCCTCCACTGCCATTTTGAAGTGCAGGGACACTGAATACATGACGTGGAGACTGCTGCAGTGTGCTAATTGAGTCTGCTTGATTAATCAAGTCTGCTCCAACATATACTAATTAGCACACATCAGAGCAGACATCCAACATGTGTATAGGTGCTCCAGGTGCCATATAAGTCTTCATGTATGTATTGCCAGTAACAAGTAACAGAAGACAGCTGGAATTACTGAGCATACCCAGGGATCAAAAGCTTTGGTTTGCAGGAGCATCATGAAGAAATATTCAAGGTACAAACATAGTTTCTAGATATCTGAATAGAGCTTACATATACCAACCCCCCCACCCCAGAAAAGGATCCTTTCAGATACCATGGAGCAGAAACAGTGAATAATTTTGTTTAACACTTAATGCCTGGAGCTGCCTCATGTACAGAACATCTCATTTTGAAAATTCATGCAAAGAAATACCTCAAAAGGTTAAAGCATCCGCTCTGCAGGAGTGATGTTGCTTTTCTATGTACAGATATATTTTGTCAATTACCAGTAGTGTAATAAAGGTGGCTACATCATTAGGCAGGACAAGAGAAGGATTTTTTTTCTTTGGTAATTATAATTGCATCCCAGTAGCGTTGAGAGTTCTGAAAATTTGCTTTAAATTAACATCACAGTTTGCAATGGGAAAGTGTGGGCAGAGGGTGGGGAAGAGAATGATGGATGCAAACAAGCAATGCTTTCCAGCTCTTCAGTATAATCAAGATCTTACTTCTAGCCCTAATAAGCAGTAAATCAACAGCAACAGATTTCATGGTCTAATTCAGTGACATAAGCCTAAGGGCCTAGTGTCTGTTGGATGCAATTCTACATTTTGTTAGAAGGCTTGAAGCCTAATTAAGTCTACCATTAGTTTCAAAGATCATCATTTATATAAAATCTGTCAAGAGCACTGGATGTGAGAAGGGAGATGTGATTAGTGCAGGTGGTTAGCCCAAGGGGCATGGAAAGTGGAATGTGTCATCCACCCATATCTTCATGTAGGTATCAGAAATATGAAGTAGTACAAAGAGTGCAGGATATTGATTTGTGGCACCTTCAAGTAACACTCTACCCCCACTGTATAGTCTTTAGAAAAAGTTTAGGGACCTTACAAAAGAAAAAGTTCAAATTATAAACAACTTTGGTTTGGGGCACTTTTGCCAATTTAAGTAACCCAAGGGATTTGCAAAACCATAGAACTCAAACCTTACTGATCCCAACAAATAAACAGAACAATCAATTAAAAACATTGTAGTGTGTACCTTGTTAATGGAGTCTTTTAGCCCCCGAGTTCTCCTTCACTAGCCTTATGTGTGCACTATCAAGGTGAACTGATATTTTATGTAAATGATACTCTAAAGTAGATTTCTGAAGAGTGAAGCAGTAAAACTTTAAAAAGAAGTTGTAAGGAGCAGTGAGTGCTTAACCCTCAAAGTAGTCCCCTTCATAGTTAATACATGGGTCCCATTATAGAACAGTCCTGTGGAATTTAAGCTCTTTCCTTCCTATAAGGCTTTTAATTCCTTCTAGGATACATAGCATCTATGTTAGGAGTTTAATGAATCCAGGATTTTTAAGGGAATGATTGTGCCTAATAAACCTCAAACTAAAGCTGAACTCAAGAACCACATTAAGAAATAACTAACTGGTGTAATATTGCACTTTGGCTTCGGTAGTGAGACACGAGTTCAGAGTTCTTCCTTGAGAGTTAATAAGCAACATGAAATTCAGGTAAAAATGCAGAC